TTAAGTGGCTGGGTTCCAGCGCGACTTGTGTTCGCGCCAACCGCACTCGGCTGCTTTTTAAGCCGCGCGGCCGCACCGCAACGACTCGCCTCGCGCTCGGCTGTACAAAAAGGGGGTGAAGGAGGAAACCCACCCCCCACCCCCAAAAAAAATGGAAAAGGGCTGATATCGGAGACGGCTTATTACAAGAATCTATCCGCGTGATGAAGTGCAGATGGCGCCTGCCAACGCGTGACAGGCTACTGTCCGTGTCGGCGCCGCAGCGCACCTTCGAGGTTCTGATAAAAAAAAAATTTTTTTTTAATTCCAGATTAAAAAAGTGACATTTTTTTCAAGAATGAAGTTGGCCGATGACAAAGTCCAATTTTTGGACAGGGTTTATTTTGTGTGATTGTTTTTGAATTTTTCGGAGGGGGGGGGGGCGGAGACTGGATTTTTCATGCATTATAAAAATGGTAGGACAATATTGTGAGTCGTTTTTCTCGAAAAAACAAACTGCAAAATTATGAGTTGATGAATCTCCTCTGTTTAGTGTTGACATTTTCAGATTTTAACGGGATATTTTCCGCCTTTTCTCTGTGAAAAATCTAAGACTGAAAGCTGATATTTTGAAATCGGGGTCGTATTTGTTGAGGGGCGGGGCGGGTCCCCCACCCTCTCCCGGTGACGAAGATGCGAAGTGATCGATGGCTCGCCGGCAGCGCCCCTCCCGCGCGCCGTTTGCGGTCGCGCCCCACGCCCGCGCAACCTGAAATTATCCCCAGTTTAGCCGTGTTTATTCACATTCTCACGGCGGCCGGGACACACGATCCGCCTTGGCGAGAATTTGTCCACTTTACTGCGCTCAATGACAAGCTTTGGGAAGCCCGGCTGGCTTCAAAGCGCCCCTTCAAGGTCCATTCCGGAGCGGCCGGCGCGTGCCTCCGATACGCCCCCCCCCCACCCCACCCCCGCTGCACCCCACGAGCGCGTCATCGACGGCGGGCACGAAATATTCGCAGGGGCTCGGCGCCGACGCCGCTTCGCTAATGGCGGTGCGACGAGAGTGTCAAGTAGCTGTGAATCTTTCGCGGCGAAGGGGGGGCCCCCGCGGAGGCCCGGGGGCGA